TTCTCGGTAGGTTCCATTTTTATTAATTGTTTTTGCCCAACGTTTAAGTTGACTTATAGATAAAACTTTTTTGAATCTATGTTGTACAGTATCCAGTTTTAAGTTTTTGTTTTTTCCGCTCCTACAAAATTCTGCGGCTCTTTGTTTATAATCAAATGTGATTTCTTAATTATCACTTGTGCACTGATTTGTTGGTGCAAAATCAGGATCAGGAAAGTGATGTTGAACTTCATCTTCGACTATTTTAGCATCAGTATCTTTATAATCTTCATGAAAATCTAACGACTCTTCAACAATCATATCAATATCATTAAACTCATACACGGCATCTATTAATATTTCTTTCAACTTTTCTGACAATTTAATTTCTTTGAAATTAATCTCGCTATCTGGTATTTGTAAACTTTGAAAATATGCTAATAATAAATTGACTACATTCAAAGGATCTTCGTGTTTTAATCTAAAACACAATCAAGATATAAATACTCTTTTTTGCAGCTGAATAATTTTACAAAAGACATAAGAAAACCTAGTCTATAAATAGAATTTGATCATACGTTTTTAACAGTTATATTTCACATGTTTACAAATCAAAATATTTGAATAAAATTATATATGATAAGTGACATAAATACTTACGTAGTTGACAAAAACTTTTCTTCTTGTTATGTACTATATTTTCGTGTTCGGGAAATTTGTATGTAAATATAGAAATAAGTTTATTTATAATTCCAGCACTATAAAAAAACTTTAACTTTTTAAATACTTGACTTTTCTTCAACTACTATGAATAATGAAATATGTATCGGATGTCTTATTATCGTAAGGGGCGTAGATTTGATATAACTTATCTTCTTCGAGCCATTAATAAGACAAAATTTTTAATAAGATAAAGTGGTCAGCAAAGTAAAGTACCAACAAAAAGTAAACTAAACGATAAGTGAAAATTGAAAAAAGTAAATAGTTTATAAGTATAGGAATTGAGGCTATAATAATTATTTATAACTATTAATATAATCAATTATTTGTTATAATTTCTTTTCTCATTGACAAATTGTAAATGATTTAAAAAGAAATAATAACTATATTAAACTTCCACTTTTGAAAGTAATAATTTTTAACTGTTGTTACTTGTTATTTTTTTTTTATTACGAAATAACTTTACGATTAAAAAATAATAACTATTATTATTACTCTTTTATACACAGCTATTTGTAATACAATGCAAATAATATTTAAAAAAAACTGATACTATAACTGTTATTAATAATTTCGAAAAAACAAAATAGTTAATAATTATTTATAATTTATTTTAGTCTCAAATCTTATATTTATAAACCGTTATTAATTATTTTTATCTTTTTTGTATTTATAATAAAAAGAAAATAATAATTATTACATAAAATTTGTAATACTTAGGACATATTGTTATGCAACATGAATGTTATTCAAGAAATACATTTATTTTTCGCTATTTATATAAGGTTAGCCCGCATGTCGTTCGATAAGGCTGGATTATGGGGGTTTGGTGGGTTAGAGGCAGGTTAGTTAGTTGAGGTAGCTCGCTCATGCATAGAATTAAATTATTTCAAGAAATAACAAACGACTAAACTTGTTTATCCCAGGGTTAGGTGGATTAACCTGCTGACAGTTTGACGGGGGTGGTTTCTAGGGGGTGAAACACTCCTTAAATAAAATTTTTTTGAAACCTGGAAACACGTCAATTTAATTTTGTTATTTTTTCATTATCAGTGCGATTTTTAAATCAATCGCGCTGATTTACTATATTACATATCGTAAAACTGTACAAAAAATCGTGTATTTACCCCTATTAAAAAGGGGGTTGCAACTCTTCGGTATAAATGTTATGTTCTTAAAAGCGCCTTTTTATAAGAAATTTTTTAACTTTGAGTTTTCTGAAAAATAGTCATTTGATGCTGAGAAATATTTAAAAAAACTGATTTTAGGGGTTGATTTTCAGGATGGATTTCACCCCTTAAAAGCCCATATGGGCCGATAAAAAAAACACGTATCTAATTTTTTTTCAAGTACTACAACATATCCCAAAATCATTCAAATCGGTGAGGTCGAGTTGGGGTGGTTCCCTTGTGAGACACGCGCCATCGCTAGCTTGTTTTAAGGCTGGGGCGCGACAATACTTTTTGCAGCTTAGTGCCCAGGTCTGGTGATGCTGCTAGAGATTTTTATTATATTTACTACTTAATTAAGTTGACCGTTACATTAATTTGTCTTTGAATATCTTCTGACTGCACTATTAGTTGTAAGAAAAAGTCATTCTCTCTCTCTCTCTCTCTCTTTCGGTGACTGACAAGAGCGCATGTTATTGCGCGCTCTTACCTACTAATACTGCTGCTGCTCTCTCTTCCTTTCTTGAGAATCCGATGCTGAAACAAAAGACTGGCATCAGGCACGAAACATACGTGCGCCAGGTTCCCGACATGAGCCCTTGCCGATATCGGAGAGAGAGAAGTAACGCACGGTGTAGGTCATGACCAACCTACACCGTTACATATGCATAATCATTTTAGAAATTTGAATAACATAATCACTTGATTTACCAAGGTTAATAATAATTTGAAAGAATTTAGAAAATAGGATAATCTTCACCAGTTTCAAGAAAATTGCTTTAATTATAGCTATATAATAAATATGACTAATAATAAATTGATAATATAGATAGTTGTAATAGAAGTCATAAGAATAAATAAAACAAATCACGCTATCAAAAAAATTTATTGAAGTGATACAAGAGAATTGATAAAAGATATATTAAACAATTTCTTATACGTGTAGGCAGAAATTTATAATAATTTTTAGTGAAACAAATATTTTATCAATTACGATTCAAATTTAGAACAATAGTGATAATCTTCAAAAAAGTGTTTGTGTTTCTTACACAAAAATACAGCGAACTATAGCTACATTTCTACAACTCTCAATTTCGCTATCTTATTATTTATAAGGCTTTTGGTACTTTTAATGATTGAAATGTAGCTAAAATGAGATTGATCAGGTTCATGGGATTGAATTTCATGGTTATTGTTATAAAAACTTTTAAAGCAACGAAAAAATACTACCGGCGTGTTTCTATAATTTCAAAGGTATTAAGAAACTTTAGCAAAGACTTTTTTAGGGAGCTTTCTTGAAGATTAACCGAAATAAAAAAACGAGAAAATTAGTACTGTGAAATATTAATGCTCATTTTATTAATAAAAAAATATACCATAAAAATATTTAATAAAGGTCTTTTTTTCGTTTTATTTGATATTTTCCAATTCTATCTTAACGAGTTACTGTCTGAATAAATAGAAATTGCTATAATACGTTAAGTAGAAACGATGCAACGATTCAAACTCATCTGAAATTATAGAAAAAACTGCCAAAATTTCTACATTTCGATACAGTGTAATACATATTTTTGACGTATTTTGGCGGTGAATCAAAAATTTATTTCCATTCGAAGACATATTTTTTTCTTCCAAATATGAACTGGCATTATTATAACGAATAATATCAAATTCATATAAAAACAAATAAGTCATTCTCAATAACAAGTATCTCAGAACTTATTTGCATGCGTGATTATGCTATCATGATTCAAATCGGTGAGGTCGTGTTGGGGTGGTTCCCTTGTCAGATGCGAAGGAAGATTGTTCCAGAGATGGGCCTCCATTACCTGGAAAGACTTACGGGACATCTGCGTCCTTGCCTCAGCAACCCTTAACTCCACTTGATCTACTCTTTCTGAATACTTTGATTTATGTTTAGTAAAGAACACATTCAGATAGCCAGGTTTTCGTATTTTGAGCAGGGGCGTAAAATTAACTTTTCTTCTAAAGTACTCAACTTATTTTAGTTTATCTTACTATACTAGTTTTTCTATTGATGATCGTTAAAACTTTATTTACATTTTTATACTCTTCATTTCAAATTTTTCCTATCGACTACTCAAACTCATCTACCTGCATTAATCCATTAACGCCGACAGAACGCTTTTTCGAGAGCTACGTTCAAATAGTCGCTATGCAATGAATTTAAACAAAAAAATTTAGGAACCACTATTCTTTGCGTTTTGGAGGGTGCTCTTTTCAGTAGTGTTGGTTAAATGTCTCGGAAAATAATGTTGCTATCGAAAAGTTCAAAAATAAAAGAAAAAGAAAACTGGATTTTTCGGCTGATTTTTGTTAAATCGTCTATCCTCTTATAATTTTTTATATGTCGAAGACGTCTTTAAATTACGGTTCGAAATCTGAACTAAAACATAAGTTTTTGCGAACATGAAAATTTTGTTTTTCTTAGCAAATTTCTTAAAATCAAATAAAGAATATTCTCAAATATTTTCAGAACTTTCTGATAATTTTTAAATTTGTAATCTTGTGACTTCAAAAATTCCAAAATTTTTTTGGACGATTGTCAAAAAAGTCTGAAGTATTGGTTGAGTGATTCTAAGATCTTTTTATTCTTAGGAAATTTTCATAAGAATCCATAGTTTTCCAGAAAAAATATTATGAAGTTACAGAAAAAAATTTTTCATTTCGGCCACCATTTTGTTTAATCAAAAAATTTTCATGGTCCTGAAACCTTACTTATTTTTAGTTGAGATATCGAGGCCGCGATCTAGAGAGGTTTTGAACATATCAAAAGATGTTAAGAAAACAAACATTCAATTACAAAATAAAATTCAAGCGAAAATACCATTTTATATATTTTTAACATTTTTTGATGGTAATATTTTCTTGCCAGACTTTTAACCACTATTACAAAAAAAAGGCATCCTCAAAAACATAGAGAACAAAGGTTCCTAAATTTTTTTTGGTTTTAATTCAGTGCATGGCAACTATTCAAACGTATTTCTCGAAATATCGTCCTGTCGGCGTTCATGGGTTACAAACTATAAAAACGGCTAAAAATAAATGTACCAATAGTATTTAATATTATGAATCCTAAACTACATGTTAATTGAATTCATATTTTTATAGATTTTAAGAACTTCAACTTAGTAATATTAAAGTTCAAAAACGACTTAGGAAAGTCAGTATTCAATGATCGTACAGAGGAGTCATCGGCTATGCAATACTTTCAATTTTACGGATACTTATCACAGCAACAAAATATGATGCAAGACTATGTACGAACAAGTACATACCAACGTGCTATTTTAGGAAATTTGTCAGATTTTAAAGATAAAATTGTATTAGATGTAGGAGCAGGTTCAGGAATTCTGTCGTTTTTTGCTGTACAAGCTGGCGCAAAAAAAGTTTACGCAGTTGAAGCGAGTAACATGGCTTACCATGCAGAACTATTAGTCGCAGCTAATAATTTATCAGACAAAATAACAATCATTGCAGGGAAAATAGAAGAAATAACTATACCAGAAAAAGTAGATTGTATAGTTAGTGAACCAATGGGATATATGTTATACAATGAAAGAATGCTTGAAACATACTTACATTCGAAGAAATGGTTGAAATCTGGTAAGTGTATTTAAGGTTGAAATCATTCTATTACAATAACTTCCATTGTTCATTATTATCATACCATTTACGAATAATTATATTAATGACAATCGCAGCCAAGTTGTACTTAAACTTATTTCAAAACTTCGTAGACAAATAGTACATTACGACACTAGGCCAGAAAGTTGGATTTCCGGGGCGTGCGTAAGTGACGGGCGAGCCGAATGCTCGCTCGTCACTTACGCACGCCTGGGCATCCAACTATCTGGCCGTGTGTCGTATACTATTTTTCCTTATCCCTGGCCGAAAGTGCCGTGTACACGGAGAGAGTAAAAATTATGGTGATCGTTCTGTAAAGTTGAAATACCTAAACTTTTAGAGGCTAACCGAGTGTGCGGGAATGACAGCTGCGCATGCGCGTCGCGCGCCTAATGCCGCTGCTCTATAGAGTACAGAAAAAACATTTGGGGAAAATTCTGGGAAACCCCAAGTCGTCATACTTTATGATTGAAAATTTTACTGGGCGTCACTGAAATTTTTACTAAGCTATCTTAGTCATTTCAACATGAAATTCTTTCCATGTAGCTGCGCGTGCTTTTTACTTTCCGCTTAAATCATGTTAAGCTGGTCTAGCTGCAGTACGGTTAGGTGTTTCCATGCCCGCCTGACTTTTGTAAATACGTGGCGAAGCCGAGGTTTTACTGGTCAGGGCGGGCATGAAAAACAAAAGTATTTTATTCAATAAAGCTACAAGTAAGTATATTTTATTCAATTTTCTTTATTGATTTTGTTATCAAGTAAATGAAAAGTACAGTTGTTGAAAGTACAGTTTTCGAACGTAACATGTTGCGCGGGAATCGTTTTTCCATTCACACATTCGTTTTTTCTTACGACATTCTCAATATTGTCTAGTGCTCTCCTCTTACTCGGTGGTGATGTTGTAGCTGGCCTGTTAAATACAAGTTTTTACAGACGCCGTAAAAAGCGCTCTTTTCTTAGCCTTTCGGTCAAAAGATAAAAAAAAAACTCTAATTTTGCCTATCAGGGGTCTACATTTTTTAAAAACGCCGCAAAGGACACTCTTTCCTAAGCCTTTCCGCGCCTGGATAGAAAAAAGCATTTCAGCCAATCAGCGCCGCGTTTCCAAACAGCCAATCAGCGCCGCTTTTCCCAAACAGGCCGCAAAAGTCCCTCTTCCTGGAGCGAAATCAGGCCGGGAAATAGGCACTTTCGGCCAAGGGATAAGGAAAAAAAATTTTTTTTACTTGTTATGTGATATCTTGCTTTCTAATAACTTCTACTATTTTTTAATACCATCATACAAGAATCTATTTTGCGACAAAAATTAATGAGAGGGTGATAACTACGAGTATTAGTAGAAGTGGATAAAAATACGGTGGGAATCCTCGTTCTAACTTAGGTTTTTGTTTCGCACGCATGATTTGAATAAAGATATAAACAGTCACATTTCTAGTTAATAAAATTAAGAAATTTGATAATTAAGTTATTAAGTAAATATTGTGTAAGATGAAATATGTCCAAAATTTATGTATGATGTTCCTTATATTCTAAAAAATTATGGCCACATCATGTTGCGTTCTATGAAAATTTACAAAGTTTAATGTACGTAGAATGACAGATAAATTAGATGCGATAGGTTGGAGAAACATCAAAACAAGCAACAGAAGTGACAAAATATATGATATGCAATTATGGTGGACATACAAACATGGACATTATAAAGAATGCTATTTTTTTAAGTTATACAAATTCAAATCAGTTCTAATTGCAAAAATATAAAAGTTTAATATAGTATATACACTGTTAATCACGTAATTTTGCCCTTACCCCATACGAGCAATATTGGACAAACTGTAAAATTGTGTATATTTGGTAAACATTAACGTAAAGAAACGAGTATGGGTGTCTAAAATCTCTTTTCAAGACGAATACTACTATATGTTTTTTTTTTTTGCAACGATAGATTAATATTGCAAATGTTTTAATTTCTTGTCTATCTATACTGATTCTTGAACATTCATGGCACGGAAATGTAAAGTATATTATCTTATAGCTTTTACCAACTCCGATCTAAATCACTCATTTAAAATTTATTTTCATCAGATATGATGCGCTTACCAGCATTTTTCACGAAAATTGACACCTGCTTTCAACTTTTCATATTTTGGTAATATCAATATAGAAAAAATTGTATAGGAAAGAAAATATTTGATTTTTTATGTAAAATATTATTAACTTTGTACAGATTCTTTAAAAAACAAAAGTTTTTTTTCACCCTACGTTTTTATGCTGTAATAGAGTTGGCCTGAAATATCCTCTATCACCAATTATTTAAGGGGAGGGCAAGAGATGCGGTGTGTCGCTTCTAGCAAAGCAGAAAGGAGAAGGTGTACATTCAATAATTTCACACGCTCAACTTCGTTAATTGACCTTTTATTACACTTGCACTTCCCTGAGTGCCGATGAGAATACAAAACCACTTATCAATAATAATACGCAAAACTTACTCTAAATGAGATGTCCGGCATGTTAGCGCCATATCATCTCATTAACCGGCTCAAACGACTAAATGACAAAGATACGTTCTGCCGGCTCGTGAAAGCCTGGCGCCGCACACAAAACCGCAAGACAATGCCGAGGAAAATAGAGAGAGAGAAACGAGAGGAGAGAAAACTAAACCTGACCAAAAAGTAATGGCTGCTTGGCAGGTGAGCTGGAGGTGAGGCGGCTAACGCAAGACGTGGCCCAGTTTTTTTTGTCTTCACGGCTTCACACTCTTTGTCGTCACGGCTCTCACACTCTCTGTCTGGTTCGCGGCAAGAAAAGATGGCAATCCTCCCAGTGCGGCCGATCTCCTTCGCGTGCGACGATCTAGTAGTGCGTGCGAGTCGGCTTCTCACGCCTTCCCCACCACTGTCCTCCTAATCGGCAGCACGTGGCACTGCCCAGTGCGACAAGTGCCCTGCGCCGAGCCTTACCGAACTACATATATTTTCTCTCTCTCTCTATCTCTCTCCTACTCTTGATATTTCCTTCCCGTTTCTCTTGCTCGCTGCCTTCTCTCTCTCTAGCTGCAATACTGAAAAAGAATAAAGGCAGGCATCAGACACGTAAAATAACGTGTGTCCGATGCCAGCCGTGCGCCTTTGCCTAGGAAGGAGAGGGAAACAAGCACACGGTGCAGGCCATGACCAGCCTACACCGTCACAATGCATAAAAAATTTTTTCGTTTCTTTTTTCTATAAATAAAAATTATCTTCTCAATAAAAAGAATATTACTTGTCAGAAAATGTATTTTTTACGGATTTAACAATAACTAGATATTATGAATGTAGATAAAATTACAACAAGCTTAAAAGGACTCATTATATATCTCTCTTTCCTGTTATATGCCTCGATATTTGCACCATTATGATTATGATTATTATTATTATGTACAATTTTTTTACGGTCACAGTAACAAGGTAAGTAAAAAAGAGAACACGTCGTCACAATTCTAATGCGAGAACGCGAGAGAAAAAGAGAGAAAGAGAGAGAGAGAGAGAGAACCGAGAGGAAGAGCAGAGAAATCTACCGGGGACTAATTAATAGCCAGCTACACGAGTAGACGCTGCATAGCAGCGGTCCGACGAATACCTATTTTGATAGTTTGGTTAAGTGCCTTAACTTTTCTTCGTGACCAGCGTCGAGACAGGTGTGTACGACAGGGTTGCCGTAATCCACTAGCACAGCCTCGGTAGTCATCTTCGTCGCTACTGATCTTCATTGAGGCAATTTTTTCTTCATTCAAGCAAGCAGATCGTCGAGCTCTTCTTTCGTATTATAGCCGCAACCCTGTACGAAGTCTGTCCGGAAAAGTATCGGACCTACCTTTGTGTTTTCGTGCTAGCGTTATTCTTTATCATCTGGTGGGTGGCATCCTTCAAAGTAATCCCCACTTGATTGAATAACACGGATCCATCGATGTTTCCACTTTTCAAAACAGTCCTGGAACTCACTTTTAGGGATAGCCTTAAGTACACTTATCGCATTGTTTTCAACCGTTGTTTTGTCATCGAATCGGAGTCCTTTGAATGGTTTTTTTAGTTTTGGAAACAGCCAAAAGTCACAAGGGGCTATGTCGGGACTGTATGGAGGTTGTCGAAGCAATGCGATATTGTGTTTGCTCAAAAACTGCTGCACAAGATTGGATGAATGCGCTGGCGCATTATCGTGATTTAGAAGCCAGTCACTACTTTCCTAAAAGTGCGGCCATTTTCTTCTTACTGCATCACGCAAACGTTTCAAAATTTGAATGTAGTATTCTTTATTGATTGTCTGACCTGTTCGTGCATATTCGTGATGTACAACACCTTCACAATCGAAAAAAACAATCAACATTGACTTAACATTGCTCTGACTTTGACGTGCTTTTTTTGGTCTTGGCGATTCAGAATGCTTCCATTGTGAAGATTGGTGTTTTGTTTCAGAATCATAACCATAAACCCATGATTCATCACCTGTAATAACTTTTCTAAGCACATTATCATCATTATTGACCATTTCCAGATTGTCCAGAGCGATTTCTAAGCGAATGTTCTTCTGCTCTGCTGTGGGCAATTTTGGAATGAATTTCGCACACACGCTTTTCATTCCTAAATTTTCAATTGAAATTTCTAAAATAATAGTTTTTGGTATCCCAAGGTCTTCTTCTAGTTCTCGCACAGTCATACGACGATCTTGTTCGATTGCAAAACGCACCCGCTCAATATTATCTGCGGTTTTTGTCGTCGAAGGTCGGCCGGAACGAGAATCACTATCGACAGAAGTGCGACCATCCTTGAACCGTTTATACCACTCTTTTATTCGTGTTTTGCTCATTCACTCGCTTCCGAAGGCCTTTTGCATCATTTCAATAGTTTCCGAACTCATTTTTCCGAGTTGAAAGCAAAATTTGATGCAAATTCATTGATCTTGTTTTTCAGTCATTTTTGACAATATCAAAATCCGACGAACGC